GATGCGCGTCAAGGTGGTGTACGAATGCTCTCAATCGTGCTCGACGTCACGTTCCTGAAAGGCGAAAAGGGTGGATCCATGGGGGGGGGGGGGCACCATATATATATATATATTCATGTACTAGTTCTCTGCTCAGGTATGGAGCGCCTGTGTCGAGGCAAGGAGGCCCCCCAGCCCTTAGCCGGCGTCTGTTGGGTTGGGAGGGCCAGGCTGTGGAAACCGTGGGAAAATTTAGGAATGCCCGGATCTGCACAGACTCCCCGTCAGATGCCATATCCTGCCCAAACCCCTAACCTTTAACCCCAAACCCTAAACCCCTGAACCCCAAAACCTATGAATTTCCGTGGTCCGACAGTCCAGGAGCCAAGGAGACGGTCACTCTGGTGGTGTCGCTCCAAGGCTAGCGGGACTTCTCGGCTTGTTGACGCGTCCATCTTTGCCGACAAGGCAAGGCTGAGGAAGTAGAGTCGCGGATGTTTTTTTTTTGGGGGGGGTGGGTGTCATAGTATCAGTCTGCAGAGCCTCTAAGCAGATATTATAACCATCCTCCTGCCCAGCACCTGAAGTAGGTTGCGGGTCATTTTTATCTACAGAAAATCGGAACTCGAAGATGAGTGGAAGTACGCGAGTGCCGAGACGACGAGGGAAACTAAAAAGGATCCACCGGAGTAGAGGTGAGCCCAGAAAGGCGTCACCAAGCTCACGTGGCCTTCACTGTGGGCGGCCAGGGTGGCATCCAAGAATCCTGGAAAGCAGGGGGCAATGCCAACAGCCACGGCCAGCAGAGGGCGCCACTTGATGCCTGTAGATGAATAGAGCTCCTCCAGATCCAGAAACCGTCCCCTGAGGACCCAGTAGTCGCAGAGGAAGACGCCAGCGATGGCACCGGTGACCATGGCGTAGCCGTCGAGAAAGGTTAGCACAAAGGTGACCTCGCCAGAGAAGGTCCACCAGGGGCACACAGCGAAAGAGAGGAGCAGGACGAAGAAGCCACAGCCGCGGTGCGTGAAGCGCTTCGGTGCTAGGTTCATGATGTCGTTGCTGGGCGAGGGGATGTTGGCCAAGATGTTTACAACCATTGTCCCGATGGCTAGCACCAGTGCGCCAAGCACGCTGAGAACTGGATGCCAGTAACCAAAGATGGTTGGAAGCTGCCACACAGCACTGCCGAAGGCTACTTTCGTGGCTCCTGCAACGAACATGCCCAGCAGAAGGGTTGCCATAAAGGGCACCAGAACTCCCACCAGGTGTCCCCAGACATGATCCGACTGCCTTGGAGAGGAGACCCTAAACCATAAACCCTAAACCCTAAAACCTAAACCCTAAACCCTAACCCTCAACCCTAAATCCTAAACCCTAAATCCCAAACCCTAAACCTTAATCGTGATGCGACTGCCTCGGAGCGAAGCGGCTCAGGTCGCAAACGTTTAGCAGCAGCATGGACCAACTTCCAAGGCTCGAGTTCATCGCCGCCATGAAGGCCACAACCTCAGGGCCAGACGTCACCTAAACCCTAAACCCCTTTAAGAAAACGGTTTAGGGTTTAGGTTTCAGGGTTTAGGGTTTAGGGACTTGACTGACTTACTTAAAAAAAGCCGCCCGTTGCAAGGCTTGTGGCTTTGCTTTTTGCCTTTTTTCGGACCCTAAACCATTTTACACCTGGACTATGTCCCTAAACCCTAAACCCTAAACCCCAAGGCCTTGCTCCCTTCGAAAGGCTCGGGCCCCTGCTCCGCGGCAGCTTCAAAGGCTTCTGAGATAGGACTCAGGGTCTGGGCCCAGAGCGCGATGACCTAAGATAGGGGGGGTTCAGGGGTTTAGGGGTTTAGGGGTTTAGGGGTTTAGGGGTTTAGGGGTTAAGGGTTTAGGGTTTAGGGCTGGGGGCCTTAAGAATTAGAATAGGGTTCCTTTGAAGGGTTCCATAAGGGTTACTATACGGGTTTAATGTAGAGTTCCATACTGAACCCTAAGCCCCAAACCCTAAACCTAGCAAGAATTATAAGTGTAGCCTTGTCTTTGGGATTGTAGACACCCAGAATTGAAAACCCTTTCTGATTACCCCTAAGCAACGCCCATGCCGATGATGAGACCCGGTAGAGCACAGTAGATTGCACACTTGACCTTCTGCAAGCCCAGCTGGATGAAAACTGCGTGCATCATCAAATAAGCCACGAAGATGACCAGCTTCACGGCATGGAATTTCGCATCAATCTTTCCCCAATACTCAATGGCCTCCTTCCCCGCACAATGCACGAAGGCTGCGTAGAGTCCCAAGGCACCCTGCCAGCACTGGAAGGACAGCCACATTGTAGCAACGGCCCCACGTGTGAGGGTGCAGAAATGCGCACCTCCGCTTCCGAAGGAGCTGCGCGCCAGGACAGGAAAGGGAATTCCGTACTTGACGCCCGGCGCAGCGTTTAATGACAAGCCAAGAACCAGGATCAAGGCACCAGCGGCCTGGCCGGCCAGTGTCTCGGGTACAGAGAGGTCGAAGCTTAGCGTGGCAGCGCCGGCGGAGAAGGTGCCCGTGTTCACCATCATGATCGACCATGCAAAGGCAAAGACGTCCCAGGTCCACGTGCGGGCAGGTCCTTGCGGTGTTGGCTCCAGGTCTTCAAGACCTTCCGCTACCATGATTTTCATCGGCGAGACGGCCCGGCTTCGGGAGGGTTTGAGCTAAAAAATGGCCTTTGTTTGAGGACAGCGGTTTCCTGAAGCTTTTGTTGAACCCTGAACGAAACACGTGAAGTATCACAGCTACGGCAATCCGCCGGTTTATGAGGTCTCCAACACTGCATGTATCTATATGCATAGATGCATACATGCATGAATACGCGCATACATGTAAGCATGCATACGCAAATTCATCCGCAACTACATACCTCAACCTGTCTGAAGACACTATCATGCAGAAGCCTGATGCACAAGCATGTATACAAGCATGCGGGAACATGCATGCAAACAGCTAGCAAGGCGGAAAAGTATGTACACATTCATAAATGCATGTATGCCCTAAACCCTTAACCCCAAGCCCAAAAAGCCCAAACCCAAAAACCCCAAACCCAAAAAGTCCAAACCCCCAAAAAGCCCAAACCCAACAAGCCCAAACCCCTAAACACCAGCTTAGACAGAGAGGCTGCAGGTCGACGAACCCCGCCAGGCGCGCCCCGCGCGTCCGCTTATCCTGCATCGTTCAGGATTCAATTTTTTTGTAGGTTTTAGGGTTTAGGGTTTAGGGTTTCAGGGGGTTGGGGCTTTGGCGTTTGGGGTTTAGGGATTCAGGTTTAGGGGCTTGGGGCTTTGGGGTTTAGGGTTTAGTGTTCAGAGTTGATCTCGGTGTTGCAGAGTTCCGGGCTGAGGGTTTACGGAACCCTAAACCCTAAACCATTCATCACCTGAACAAGCCTGGCGAGGCTACGGATTCGAGTTTAGAGTTGATTTGGGCTTACTTAAAGGATCGGTTTAGGGTTTTAGGGTTTTGGGTTTAGGGCTTAGGCCTACAATGATCGCCCTCGTACCATACTTCTTGTCCGTTTGAGTGTACCTTCCTCTCTAGATGAAGAAACGGAGAGATGCATTCGGCGAAGTACATGTGATTTGTACCTACTTCTGCGAACTGTCGGACTGACTAAACACACAAGCCTGTGAAAAGATATGTGTATCAAATCGAGTTGACATGACACTCGGACTATCAATCTGTCTATCAAACTGTCTAGCCCATCTTCCTCCTAAGCATACCTATGTGTCAACAACAAGTGTGTATATATACCCATACATACATGAATACACACAAAATATAGCTGAAACATCTATAGCCGGACATGTAAACATGTGTGTATGTGTTATTTGTCTGGTGTTTTTCTGTCTATCTGTCTGTATGTCTGCCTCCGTCTCGGTCTGTGTCTCCAGTCTCTGTCTCTGTCTCGTCTGCGTGTCTCTGTGTGTCTCTGTCCTAATGTAAGACTCCTAGCTTCGCAAGGACCCTTTTTTAGCCCGCATGATAAGGACCCCAAAACACAATCAGCAGTATGAATTAAATCAACAAGGCTTAAGGCATATTATCTTGGTGATGCACCTGTCGTTTGGAACCGTCCTTCGGATGCCGGAGGGGCTTCAGACATCGCGGCTGCACGCGCATGTTCCTCGGTTCTGCAATGGCGTCCCAAACGAGGGGGAAGGAGCATCTCAGAGCAAACCGATTTTGCAGAATTCCCATAGCTTGAAGCAGATATGAAGGCTAAAAACTATCCCCAAAAACGAATCTTGAACCCTAAACCCTAAACCCCGAAATTCTACAGATACTCCGAGCTCAAAGGTCGAAGCTTTTAATTGCTAAGCTGGGACATGACATCTGAACCACAACCAACCAATCCCCTCTGTACAAAAACACAACTGGCATCCTAAATTGGGTTTCGGGTTTAGGGTTTATATGATTACAGGTCCTCCCCGTTCAAAACAGGATCTCTGGCCTGCAAAAGCCCCACCCGAAACTTCGGCCTTCTTCCATCCCCAATCTTCGAGCCGGCATTGGTGGTATCCAAAGACTCCAAAACCCTTAGTTGAGGAATGTGCCCCAAATCATATCAAGGATCCACATACTGTAGAGGCTTAAATAATTACCAATACTATTCTAGGGGCTCCTCATTATCATTATAGTATAATGGGCCCCAAAACCCTATTCTAATAAAGGCCCCTATATACCTGGTGGTTCAGGGGAGTCGGGTTCAAAAGCAGGTGGAGCTGTAGTAACGTTGCCTACAACCCTACTTACTAAGACCCCAGGACCTCTACAGTGAACCCCGGAGAATTGGAAACCGGATTAAGGACAACTAATGCTGGGGTTCCTTATACATTACTCTTAAGGATTGAGGCTATTGGGTTCCAACTTTCGGGCCTCAAACAAACCGCGATAAAACCCTTAAGCGGAACCCTACTCATTAAGTCCCCTCCATCCCAAAACCCCAAGGGAACCCTTATAGAAACTTTTTTTATGATAGAGCCCTAAACCTTAACCCTAACTAAACCCTTGAAGGAACCTTCCTTACTGATTCCCCAGAACCTCTAAGTGAAGGCTTAGGATTTGAGGGGCGATTGGGGGTTTCGGGTTTTTTTGGTTGAGGGGTTCTGGGGTTAGGGTTTAGGGTTTAGGGCCTTAGGGGTTTAGGGTCTTGACGGGAAAAAAACGGGTTTAGGGTTCAGGGCTTGTGGAAGTAACAAAATCAAACTACACGCAAGATGCCCACCACTTGTTCATGGCGTGCTCCTTGACATCCGTAGAAACGTATGGAACAATGAACTTCGACTATGAATGAGCTGTTGTAGCGAACACCAAAGCCAACCAACTATCAACAAAATAACACAGCATCAGCAACGCAGCAACAACAGCGACGAAAAGAAAAGTGTAGCCACCACGGCGTCACAAGTTTGCCCTCTGCGAAGAAGACTCTTTGCTGCCCCATCCTCCATCTGAACGCGCACCAGGAGGAATCCCTGATCATCCGCAATGCGGCTCAAGACCTCCAAACTGCTAATGACGCTTGTGGCTCCAGGGTGCTGGGTGCAGGGAGGTTTGCTTGTGGTTCGCCCCAGACCACAACGAGGGTCGACCGGAATCGCGGGTCTCAGTAATTATCTAAGTAAAATAAAACCCATAACGCGGAAGAGGCTGCTGGCTAAGGGGTGGCGTATGGTGTCGACCGGACCACCGGACCGTGACCAGGCCCCCGCTGGTCGCCCGGTACGCGTTCGGCCCGGTCACCCGGTCGGCCCGGTCGTCCGTTCAGTCCGGTCACTCGGCCAGGCCGGAAGGGAATCGACCAGGCGACCGGGTTGACCTAACCGGGAAAGCAGAGCGCGACCTGACCGGGACCGGACTGACCTGACCGGAAAAACGGATGACCACACCAGGTGACCGGACTGACCTGGCCGGAAACGGCAGGACCGACCGGGAAAACGGACCACTTGACCAGGAAGACAGGAAAGCAGACGAACTGACCGGGAAAACGGAATGACAGACCTGACCGGGCGATCGGACTGACCTGACCGGGACAACGGACGACCTGACCTGACTGAACGGATTGCCGGACTGCTGGTTTGCCGGACCTGAGCAGTCTAGCTGAACGGATTGAGTGGCTGTGGAAATAATTGGGCGACGGACGGGACTGACCAGACAAAGCTACTGTACTGACCTGCTAAGGGAACGGACTGACCGGATGGACTATCCGGCCGGCGTCACTACCACGACCACCACAACCCGTACCACTACCACTACCACTACAACTTCCACTACCACTACCACTACCACTACCGATACTAACACTACTGCTCCTTCTTCCGATATTTCCTGCATGCACTTGCTGTTGCTGCATGTGCTGCAAGTGTCTTCCATAAATCTATTTGTGGATCTAGTTCTACTTCCATTCTACTTCCAGCGCTTCTGCTTGTGCTTCTCGTGGTCGTGCTTCTCGAGCTCATGATTTGAGCAGACGAGTTATGTGATGCTAAGGTTGATGCTTCGATCCTTGTGGTTCTAACGTCGATATGCGGTGACCCGCACGTGGGGCTTCTTCTTCGCACTCCTCGAAAGGATGCTCGACTGGGGCTGGCACTGCACCGCCCAAATGAAAGGGCGGTTCGTTCTTAGGCGAGCCTTCAATTCGCACACCTTGAGCTGAAGCCAAAGCCGGCAGCCGGCCCTTCGGCTGCTTCAGCTCCACCGCGAAGGGGGGACATGCGGTTACGCCGTGCAGCGGCTGTTGACTCATCAATGTCAAAGAATGACTGCCAAGCCTGCAGAAAGGAACTTGCAACCCCGGTTGCTTTCAGGAGGGACTCAACTTCCATGTAGACGGCAAAGAAAAGATTCCAGCTGTGTCGCACCTGACTCAGTTTGTGTTTGTCAACAGCAACAAGTGGAGAAGTACACAGCTCCCCCGACTGGTTTGCTCTGTCGAACATACGTCGCTGCTGTCGTTTGTGGCATCCGCCCAAGATTGGCGTTGAAGCATTGGCCGAGTGGGCTGGGGGACCTCATCTTCTTTACAGAGACAGCCTCGTAAATCTGTAGCCGGACGCTCAGGCTCAACAAGCATTGAAGCACCGCCATGATATCCTGATCGGCGACGAAAACCTCTTGCTCGTAGCAGCAATTCGTGGATGAATTCGTTGGCAGCAACGCAAGCTCCTTTGCCAACCAAGAATCATCAGTCGTTGTGGCAAGATCTGTTGCGACCGTGGATGTGTCTGAAAGTGGTAGCATGCTGTCGTCAGTGCTGGCCAACGCCACGAATGCTCGCAGGCTGTCGGCTCCGGTAGGAACTTGCCAGCGAGAAGGAAGAGACAAACGAGCAACAGGCGATCTTCAGCATCAAAACAAGCCATGTGGACTCTTGACAAAACCACTGCGGAAAGCAGGGGCCTTTCAAGAGAAATCGTTGGAATCTGCACGGTGGGCAGTTCTTCCTCAGTTGTCACCCATTTGAAGCAGGAGCAAATGCCACGGGTGACTTTGAACCTGCCAGCCCAAAATCGGGCAGTTGAAATGAAACCAGTGGCGAGTTGCTCGGCTCGGCTCCAGGAACTTGCAGAGTTAGCAAAACCAGTGAACATGTCCACGGAATCCAGATTTGCAAATCCGTGGATAA